ATTGAGTGCATAACTGAACATGATTATTTGAAGGTTGGCGTTTTTTGTATTAAAAACACTTGTCTTTCATTGGTGGGATGAAATATGCTAATTTTTTGGGACAGTCATTTTGGGTTTTCATGAGCTGTGTGCCATAATCATCAGTATTAAAACAATTAAAGACCTGAAATATTTCAGTTGGTGTGCAATGAATCTGAAATATATGAAAGTTTCATTTTTATCATTACATTATGGAAAATAATTACCTTTATCACAATATGCTAATTTTTTGAGAAGGACCTGTAGACCACTGGTTAAAGTCACCAAACCAGTCTGCAAGCAGGTACGAGTGTGGCCAGAGGGCTCTTCAGAAGCTCTTCAGGACTGTTTCAACACCACAGATTGGAATATGTTCAAAGAAGCTGCTACCAAAAACAACAACACATATCTTCAAGAGTACTCAGATACTGTATGCTCATACATCCCCAACTGTATTGATGATGTAACTGACCTCAAGACCATCACTGTTCGGGCAAATCAGAAGCCATGGCTGACAGCAGAGGTCTACGGACTCCTGAGAGCCAGGAACGCCACCTTCACAGCAGATCAGGTGGGCCTGAGGGCAGCCAGAAACAACCTGTCCCGGGGCATCAGAAAGGCCAAGAAGCAGTATTCCAGAAAGATAGATCATCGCTTCAGTGACAGCAAGGATACACGGAGTCTGTGGCGAGGAATACAGACCATAACGAACTATAAGCCAGCCCCACAAACCTGTGACAGCACAACCTCTACACTGAATGAGCTGAATGACGTCTTTGCGCGGTTTGAGGCATGTAACAGCACACCTGCACAGAAACTCTCCCCCTCTCCCAGTAACCAGGTGCTGATGCTGTCCACGGACAGTGTAAGGCGATCATTCATCAAGATCAACGCCCGAAAAGCTTCTGATCCTGACAACATACCTGGTCGTGTGCTGAAGGATTGTGCAGTGGAACTTGCAGCGGTCTTCACGGATATCTTTAACATCTCGCTGAGTCAGACCATCGTCTCCACCTGTTTCAAAGCCACCACCATCATCCCTGTCCCAAAGGCGGCATTGCCCTCCTGCCTCAATGACTTTCATTCGGTGGCACTCACCCCCATCCTGATGAAGTGCTTCGAACGGCTAGTCATGAAGCACATCAACTCTGTCCTTCCCGCCTCCCTGGATCCCTTCCAGTTTGCATATTGGCCAAATCGTTCGGCCGATGACGCCATCTCCTCTGCCCTCCACAGAGCCCTCACACATCTGGACAAGTCAAGTCAACTTTATTTATAGAGCACATTTAAAACAGAACCTGTTATCAAAGTTGTATTATGAAATTTCTTATACAAGGTTCGTGAACGGTCGGCCCCGATGATTCATACGAGAGGAAATAAATCAGAGGAGACTGTTACTGCTAGAATAATAGTGTCATTTTATTAATCTGCCACAGAAAAACAGCCAAGCAAAGAACATGTACACTCGTACACTCTTAACACACAAATTGATATGAAAGTCCTCTCACCGTTGACACTTAGTCGGGAAGCCTTTTCGACCCGATGACAGGTAAATCACATCAACACAGGATGCTGGGCACCTCGCGCGTGGTCCGCAGCAGGCTTCTGTGTTGGTGTGATTCCTGTCACTCTCTCTGAACGTGGATAATTTCTCCTTCTGATGATTGTGGACTTCAGAAGGAACAAAAACACCTACACCCCACTGAACATAAGAGGATCTGCGGTGGAAGTGGTCTCCAGCTACAAGTACTTGGGTGTACACATGAATGACAACCTCAGCTGGAGCAACAACACCACCAGCCTGATCAAGAAAGCTCATCAGAGACTCTACTTCCTCAGACGGCTGAGGCGAGCTGGTCTGGGAAGCTCAGTCCTCACCTCCTTCTACAGGTGTGCAGTGGAGAGCATCCTGTGCTCGAGCATCAACGTGTGGCATGGAGGCTGCACAGCTGCAGAAAGAAAAGCTTTGCAGCGAGTGGTGAAGGCTGCACAGAAATCTGTTGGAATCAGTCTCCCCACCATCACAGACATCTACACCTCCAGATGCAGGAAGAGGGCCACCTGCATCATGAAGGACCCCACTCACCCAGCACACACACTTTTTGCCCCACTCCCCTCAGGAAGGAGGTTAAGGAGCATTAAGTGTAGAACCACTAGACTGAGGAACAGCTTCTACCCTGAGGCTGTTAGACTCATGAATCTCTAACTAGAATAATCACTGTGAAAAACCATATCATGTTGCTGCTGATCTGTTTCATGTTGCTGCTGATCTGTTTCAATGTTGATGTGTTCATGCGTGCACATCTGCTCACAGACTCATGTTCATGTTTGTGCTGATGTTCAATGTTTTATGTTATGAGTGCTTAGTGTATATTTAGTTGATGTTTTTCTTAGTTCATATCTTAGATGTTATTACTGTTTTTCTTATACATTTTATTGTCGGATGTAACTGGGACCCTGTGTACATAATTTCGCTCCACCACATGTACCACATGAGGTGCGAATGACAATAAAGAAACTCTGACTCTGATAAGACAAAGGAGATTGTTGTGGACTTCAAGAAGATGCATGTCCAGAATGCTCTTCTGACCATCAATGGTACTACTGTGGAGAGAGTGAGCAGCACCAAGTTTCTGGGAGTGCATGTCTCAGAGGACCTGTCCTGGAGCAGGAACACTGCTTCACTGGCCAAGAAGGCTCAGCAGCGCCTCTACTTTCTCTGCAAGCTGAAAAGAGCTGGAGCTCCAACAGGACCTGTCCTGGAGCAGGAACACTGCTTCACTGGCCAAGAAGGCTCACCAGCGCCTCTACTTTCTCCGCAAGCTGAAAAGAGCTGGAGCTCCAACCCCCATCATGTGCACCTTCTACAGGGGCGCCATAGACAGTGTCCTGACCAGCTGCATCATGGTGTGGTTCAGTGCATGTACTGCATCCTGCCGCAAGACGCTCCAGCACATCGTGAGAGCAGCCGAGAAGATCGTCGGCACCTCCTTCCCCTAACTACATGACTTACACAGTACCCACCTCACTCGGAAGGCCCTCTGTATGGCGGGTGATCCCACACACCCACTACACAGCTTCAGCTGCCATAAGGGAGGAGACTGCCGAGTCTCCAGGCTCAAACTAGCAGACTGAGAGACAGCTCATTTCATCAAGCAGTCAGGATGCTGAACTCTCTGCCTGCTCTGCCTCCCCTCCCTCTTGTACTGCCTTAACACACAAAACTTTCACACATTTCCACACGACAAAAACTTTTTAACACTGAACTCTGAATCATTAAAAAACGGGTTTTACACTCAACACACGCACATGTGCTCATTCAATTTGCACTACTGTTCATATTCAAACTCCTGTTCATATTCAAACTACTGTTTACATTCACACTACTGTTTACATTTGTACTTAGGAATGCGCGATATAAACGGTATACGGTAGAAACGATAGAAATTTAGCCTACGATAGAGATCTGACTTCTACCGGCTAACCGCAGTAATGCTGTGTCTGAAGTAAAATCAAGAGTTGGCAGTTTAATTGTTACTTTTTTTTGGTTGAAAACTGTGCATAAGTGGTGTTCAAGTGTAAAATCAGAGCTGTCAGATTTAATCGTTACTTTTTTTGAGCTGAAAACTGTGAGCAAGTGGCGTTAAAGTCTTTTCTTCGAGAGCTAAGTAGCGAAGCTACAAGCTAACTACAGCTGGCTTGCCATACAGTTGCCGTATTCTGACGCATGCGCAAAACGCTGTGTTCCGTCAAAAGGTTTTTTTTTCCATCGAAAGTTAAAGTAAGCGTTGGTCAGCTTTAAGAAACCTGCTCTCTGATCTGTGAAAAGAATGCTGTGTCGTGAGATTTTACTGCGAGACCCTCTGGTCAAAGCCACAATCATTTTGTGTCAGCTTTCCATTAAAGCAGAAGGAGTCGCCCACTAAAGGGTTGGAGGATGAAGTGTTTCAGTGTAAAATGCTGCTCTGTTGCTGTTCATTTATTAAGTGAGACTGGAAACTGTTAAGAGTTAAGAACATATTCTTTTGTTTAAAACATATGGCTAAAACTACATTTGATATCTTTTGCACTGTTTTGCACTACAACAAAGAAGCATAATACTTGATTTGTTTATTATTTATAAACTCTCTGTACTTAGTAATAGAATTTTCTTAATTCAAAATATACGATGCCAAAAGAACACCCTATGCTTTATAAAAATTCCTATTGCAAGTTTTACACCAAAAACATATCGCGATATATATTGTTATCGCCACCCTTCACAATACATATCGTAATATGAATTTTATGCCATATCGCACATTCCTATTTGTACTACTGTTTATATTCACACTACTGTTTATATTCACACTGCTGCTTATATTACACTACCGTTGATATATTTTTTTACTAGCCTTATTGCATATGTCACTTTACCTACACCAATATCAAGGACTTCATACATATACTGTGTACATTCACTTCATATGCTGCTTTGCCACTTACTACAAATATCAATGACGATTTCATTTTATTTTATAGATATACGTTTTTTGTTTTTTTTAATTATACCGCTATAGTACAATTTAAGACAGTATCACTTTTATTATTTCATTTTATGCTTATGTTTATTAAATGTTTTAATGTTAAATGGTTATTGTTGCACCGGGGTCTGAGAGTAATGTAATTTCAATCCCGTGTATGTCCTGTACATATTGCAGTTTTTGACAATAAAGTGACTTTGACTTTACTTTTTTATATCGATATAGTCTCATTTTATATCACATATGAAATAATATCGATATTTTTAAAATAGAGATTTCGTCCAGCCCTAATTATTACCAATTAATTAGCAACAGCTGAACTTCAAATGCTACATTTGTTTACAGGTTCCAAACAAAATCAAGTAAACGACTGAAGACGATAAAAATCCTGAAGGTTTAAAGTGTTTTAAGTTTGGCTGATTTCAGAGCAAACCTTTTCCTTGGGGCAGAAAGTCTCACCTGGAGTGTCTGCTGTCAGAGCGGGCGTGGCCTTTCCCTCTGTTGTCGCCGTCCTCGTCACTGTTCGCCCGCAGGGTCCCATCGACCCCCCGCTTCCTGCAGTGCGACCATCGAGACGAACCACTGCTCCTGTGTGGGAAGTCGAACACTGGACTGAAATGTGACACTTAGAAAAATGACAGAAAAATCATCTTATAATGAGGCTGAGCTCAGAACCTTTGATCTTTCTTATGGAATTAATCTGAACCGTACGGTCGGTGATAAATAGCTGCCATCTTGGCTCCAAACACTGGATTTACCATTTCACAACCTGACAGGTTCCCCTCAACACCCGCCTGTTACTCCTGACATCAGAGGATCTGTGCTAACGGGGAATAAAGAACAACGGAGTTCCTCTCTGATTTCTCCTCCTCGTTCAGGAGGCAGTAAGAAAGGCGGTTTTAAATTCTGGTCCAATAAAAGCAGGTTTACTTTCCTGAATCTGTGCGAAAATTAAACACATTAAAGGTTGTTTCCAAAATGCATCATCAGCAACAAATACCTGCTGCTAACAAATAAATAACCCAGTTTTTTTTTTTTTTTTTTTGCATTTGGGTGTTTCTATAAACCACAGCAGTGAAGAACTTGGTGTGGACTGGTCGACCAGAACTGAACCTTCTGTCTGACATCAGAGGAGGACAACTGATTAAACCACAGAAAGTTTTACTTTCTGTGAAATGCTGAATGATTTTTAATGAAAGCTGCTGAAGATGTTGAAACCAGGCTGAAAAGGTTTCATCGCTGAACTGTTACTGGGAGCTGAATTTGATCAAGCAGCAGAAAAACAGCAGACATGGAGAAAAAGCTAAAAAGAACAGAAATGTAGCAGAATAAGCTGAAACAGCCTGAATAAATGACAAAACTGTCCTCTGGACGGTTCCTCTTTTTTAAGGAACCGTCCAGAGGACCTGACTTAACTTATGATTTTTTTTTTTACTTTTTATTTTAAGCCTTTTTTTCTTTTTCTTTTTTTACACAACTGAACATCTAACATTCCCCTTCATTGAACACTAAAATAAAAAACAAACACACATAAACAAAAAACAAACAAACAAAAAAAAAAACCCGCACAGCACAGGAATTGCTAACAACTTAAAAAAAAAAATAGTCACAAAAAATATACAAAAGCAATGAACCAAATCCTCTGAAAGTCACAACGAACCACCCATCAAGATGTCAGATAAACCTCTACACAGCGCCACCTTTGGTCAAAAAGATCAGTGGTCATTTGTAGAACTGATGTCATCTTTTCCACAATATATACTTGTTTAACCCTCCGTTTCCATTCAATTATTGTCTGGGGTTTCAAGTCTTTCCAATTTACAGTGATTAGTTTTTTTGAAACCAATAATAAAACATTTACTATATATCTCTGATTTGAGTTGAACTCTTCATTTAAAATAACCCCCAGTATATAAAACAAAGGACCTGATGGAACTTCCATCTGTATTATTTTCTCAAGCTCCACCTTGATATTCCTCCAGTATGTTTGGATAACAGGACAATCCCAGAATGTGTGTGTATGGTCACCTATTTTCCCACATTTTCTCCAGCAGTATGCAGTTGAGGGATCCTTTGCAAAATCTGAGATATTAAGAGGTGTGTGGAAATACCTCATTTTCAATTTCCAGTCAAATTCTTTCCCTAACTGACTGGTAATCCCTCTTAGGCTGTTTTTCCACAGATTATCCCATACTTCATCTTCTATCAGGACATTTAACTCCAATTCCCATTTCTCTTTAATATACCAGGTATTCTGGTTAATATCAAGTGAGAGCCTCTTATATAAGTTAGAGAAATGTTTTTTTGTTGGAATTTTCTTTTCTATAATGGAAATAAAGTATTGTTCTATATCATTTGGATCTTTATTAATTCTCTCTTTGTTTTTATGGTTCATAATGTAATGTCTAATTTGGAGATATCTATACATATCTTTTGCTGGGAGATCAAATTGCTCCCTAATCAGTGAGAAAGATTTAAAACCTGTTTCTCCAAACAACTAGTTGAGAGTCACGAGACCTTTGGTGTTCCATTTTCTAAACCCCTGGTCCCATACAGAAGGGGGGAGGTCTATATTACCCACGATTGGCAAAGCTCGAGATATTGATCCTGTGTCATTCAACTTATTTTTACTTCCATCCAAATCTGCAGAGTATGTTTAATCTATTAATTTTCAATTTAATGACAGATTTTGAATCAATAAAAGGCAAAGTTGACAATAATACACCCTATTATCTCCCCCTGCTCTATTCGATTCCAAATTGGTTCCTCATCTCCCCTAATCCAAGTGACTATTGCAGCTAATTGAGCTGCCCAGTAATAATATTTTAAATTAGGTAGAGCTACTCCTCCTTTATCTTTTGGCAAATAAAGTGTCTTAAGTCGTATTCTAGGTCTCTTGTGCTGCCATATAAACTGTGATATTAATTTGTTTAGTTTATTAAAAATATAAATAGGAACTCTTATGGGCAATGATTGAAACAAAAACAGAAGACGAGGAAGCAAAATCATTTTTATAGTTTCGATTCTGCCTAACAGTGAAAGTGGGAGGACTTCCCAACGGGTCAGATCATTCTTTTTTTTTTTTTTTTTAATAGGATAGAAAGAAAGAAAAGACAAAGTAAGACTCCAAAATATAAGAAATATACACAAAGAGAGCACACGGCAAAACACCCGGCCACTGTCTGTTCACCTGCAAAGAACATGACAAAACACAGCAACAAAATACATATGTATAAAGAACTTAAAATATTCATGGCTTTGCAGTAAGTTTCCATAAATATATATACCCATACCTATGCCTATATACATACATACATACACATGAATATACATATCTATATATCTACATATAAAGCCTACATAAGCATCCCTGCATCTATTTGTGTGTGGTTGTGAGCATGCATAAGTGTATAAGGCTTCTCTAATAGAACATTTAATAGTAACTGTGAAGCAGCAGAGACCCGACCCCCAAGACCAGAGGCAGACGAAAAAGGGGGGGACCAAAGCCCAAGACCCCAAAAGGTACCCCGACCGCGGACCCCCCAGGGCCACCCACACAGGACGAACCACTCAGCCACCCCCCAGATCGGACCACAGGGGAGAACCGGAAGATCCCCACCAGCGACCACATGCAGTGACCCCCCGGGGCCAACAGCGACAAACTCATAGGCCCCCGCCGGAACCCGCCGCACCTTTGCAGTTCCAGGCCCGGGCACCGAGGCTTGGGCACCAAGGACGCACACCACCCAGGCCAAGGCCTGACAGGGCCAGAGGACCCGAGCCCCACCAGGCAGACACCAGGCCGAGCCGACACAAGCCCAAGCGCCCAGCCCCGGACACCAAGGGCGCCAGCAGGCAAGGGCACACCCCAACAGGGGGCCGCACGATAGGGGCGCGATGCCAAGCACCCCCAGTTGTATCAAAGAGGGGGCAGTCCGAGTCTCGGCCTAACAAATACCCATTCATACACAGACACAATCACACAGTCCCAGCCTCATTCTCACACTCACTCACTCAAAGACATACAATAACGATACATTTCATTCTTATTCCCGATACGCACTCTATACCCCCCAGGTCCAAGACATGTACCCGCCCTCTACAGGGGGCAGCCCATGCCCAAACCCAGGAGGTAAACCCATTCATTCTCGAGCGGAAAGGAGCCAATATCCCAGACCCGGCCCAGGCCACGCCCAGCCAAAAGGACATCCCCCGGCACGAAGAGGTCACGCCACCGACCACCCCCACACACTGCCAACAACCAAGCACGCGCCCCCAGCCGACCGCCCGCCAGGCCCCGGCAGCCACCCCGGCCAGCGGGCCAACCATGGCACCCAAGAGCCAAGCTCAGGGGGTCCAAACAACCCCAGGGAGAGCACAGCGCCAGCACCGCACACGGCAATCCCCCAGACCCCGAACCCCCACATAGTCCTGGTCAACACTCGACGGCCTGCCCTTCTCCCGGACCCCACCCCCGGAATGGCAATTAGGGAACTAGGGGGGTGAGGAAAAAAAAAAGAGAGAGAGAATAAGACCCCGACACATACACCCCCGCCCCTAGATGTGCTGTTGATGTGTGTTGTTGTATAGTGCCATTAAAAAGGAAAGAAGGAGCAAAGGCTGGCATGATGCCAGTTTCCCCTCCACCCCAACTCTATCCAAACTCTAGTGTCTAAATGCAACCATTGTAAGTGAGCACAGGCACAGGGGGCAAGAGTAAAGTCATCCCACCACCCATAGCCATAGTGCCCACCTCAAGTTCCTATATGTGAATGTCATGAGGATGTTATGAGTGAATGTCTAAGGTGTACAATAAAATTGAGTCCCAGGTGGCTATGGTCAACAGAGATGTAAAATTGTTGCAGCACACCCGAGCCCAAACAACCTTAAATGTGTGGAATTGAAATGAAGAGGGTGGAGGTGCATGGTGAGAGATGGGGAGAAATATAACTGTGAGAGCAAATGCTCCCACAGGGAGTCAACTCCCCCACTGACCCAACAGGCCCCCCCAGTTCCCCAAGGTCCACCCAGGGATTGAGGCCAAGACACCTCTCCATCTGGACTGACCGCCAGGCCCACTGAGCTCCAGACCAGAGAGGGACGGAGCCCCGAGGGCCGCCAGAAGCAGTACCAGCGGCCCACACACCCGAGGGCCGCCAAGACCCCCACAAACCGCAGTCAGCCCGCCACCAGATGAAGCCAAACCCCACCAGGACGACCCGGCCAAGAGCGCCCGCCCAACCGCTGACAGAGCCAGGAAGCACCGGGAGCGAGCCCCCACCACAGGAAAGGGGCCAGCCAGTCGGCCATGCACAGTCCCGGGCCGCCCCCAAGGACATCCACCCAGTCCCCACCCCAGAAGAAATACTACACCCACCCCTCATTCGGACATCTCTCAAAACATAGCACACTAGACACCTAGGCTGGGTCAAACTACCCCCTCTTAGGGGCCACTGGTCACGCCCCCAAACACCCAATCCCCCAGCCCATGAACCCACAACCTACCAGCGAGCCGAAGGCCCCTGCCCAGAACCGGGCACCAGAGCGCAAGCCGGCCCAGAGCCCGGCAACCCGCCCGCCAGAGCCCA